GAAGGCTTATGACCGTGTCCCCAGGGGCACCCTGTGGGGGACGCTCCAGGAGTATGGGGTGGGTGGCTTTCTGTTAAGGGCCATTCAGTCCCTTTACCAGAGGAGCGTGAGTTTGGTCCGCATAGCCGGTAGTAAGTCGGACCTGTTCCCAGTGAGGGTTGGACTCCGCCAGGGCTGCCCTTTGTCACCGGTTCTGTTCATCACTTTTATGGACAGAATTTCTAGACGCAGCCGTGGTGTGGAGTGTGTCGAGTTTGGTGGCAGGAGAATCTCGTCTCTGCTTTTTGCGGATGATGTGGTCCTCCTAGCTTCATCCAGCTCTGACCTTCAGCTCTTGCTGGGTAGGTTCGCGGCCGAATGTGAAGCGGCTGGGATGAGGATCAGCACCTCCAAATCTGAGACCATGGTTCTCGACCGGAAAAGGGTGGCTTGCCACCTCCGGGTCGGGGGAGAGGTCCTACCTCAAGTGGAGGAGTTTAAGTATCTCGGGGTCTTGTTCACGAGTGAGGGTAGGAGGGATCGGGAGATCGACAGGCGGATTGGTTCGGCGTCTGCAGTGATGCGGACGCTGAGCCGATCTGTCGTGGGGAAGAGGGAGCTGAGCCAGAAAGCCAGGCTCTCGATTTACCGGTCGATCTACGTCCCAATCCTCACCTATGGTCATGAGCTTTGGGTAATGACCGAAAGAACGAGATCGCGGATACAAGCGGCCGAAATGAGTTTCCTCCGTAGGGTGGCCGGGCTCAGCCTTAGAGATAGGGTGAGGAGCTCGGACATTCGGGAGGGACTCGGAGTAAAACCGCTGCTCCTCCGGATCGAAAGGAGCCAGTTGAGGTGGTTTGGGCATCTGGTCAGGATGCCTCCTGGACGCCTCCCCGGGGAGGTGTTTCGGGCATGTCCTGCCGGCAGAAGGCCCCCGGGTCGACCCAGGACACGTTGGAGAGGTTACATCTCCAATCTGGTCCGGGAACGCCTTGGGGTCCTGCCGGAGAAGCTGGTGGAAGGGCCGGGGAGAGGACGGCCTGGAGCTCCCTAGTTGGGATGCTGCCCCCGCGACCCGGACCCGGATAAGCGGAGGAAGACGACGACGACGAATAAATCTTATGTACAATCAACATATTTTACTGCTTAAAAACTTCTTTTAGATCAGTCTCTTTTGCACCATAACCTGCGTTAGCATCTTTATATTCAGACTTTTGATCAATGTCTTACCTCATCAAGCAGGTGATCATGGGTTACCCCCTCAGCTGGGGCAAAATCATCAGCTATTGGTCAGTGGGTCAAAAGTACAGCCCCCTGTACTCACGTGTACACTGTAGCTCTAACCAATTGCAGCCAAGTAAATAGTTGATTGACACATTAAATAGTTAATAAAATTAAGGAAATCTCTAAAATTAGAACCACTCGTGTCCTGCAAACTGATGAAGAAGGATTGTGATTGATGGAGTGCTGAATGTGTTTCAGGCCCACAAAAGATCTAACTGCATGAAAATATCTGCAATTATCATTAGTTAGACTAACGAAAGAGAGAAGAAAGAAGCCAATATTTTATAAAGCACCTAACAAGATAAAAATCACGAGGTGCTTCATAACAACAGAAATAAAAAAATAAACAGCTTTGACAAAACAATAACAAAATATAAAAATGAGAATATTGGTTGGTAAAATTTTACGTCACCCAACTTTTGTAGATCGCCCTATTTTTGTAGATTTTTTTTAGTTAGATTTAGTTACTTTTATTCAGACTTGTTTATTCTTGAGCAAAAAGCCTCTTTCTGAAAATGTGATCAATTTTGTTGTTTTCACACATCTTTTCCAAAATCAGCGACTAAGTAAAGCAATATCCTTGTGAATCTGTAAAACCCTTTTCAGGTTATTAAACTGTACTCATTTTCCTTTTCCACCCTTTAACATATGTTTACATACATGTTGCTCATGAATTCATTTAAACTTGTTAGTTGATTTGTTGTGGAAATGGAGCTGGGTGGGTGCGGCAGTACTAAGGTGTAGACTGACAGATTCAGAGTCTCTGATTACTCTTTAAGAGAAGTGTTGATCTCCCAGCGGAAGGAGACGGCATTGTGCCACATGACTGTGTTGAACACGGTGAAACACGAGTGTGTCCCTGTTAGGGAGCCTGGACTGTAAGCTCAGATTAGTTTAAATACCAATTTCACATAGTAGCAATGTTCTTATGTTTAGTCATCAAATGCATTTATCAAACCTGGTGAATTAAATGACAGTTATGATTCTTGCATAGGTCATTTATCAAGTAGTTATGCAAAGCATTCTCAGCTTACTGCTCCTGAAATGGTCGGAATTCCTGCTATTCCCAACTCGACATCACTGTAAATATCAAATCTCTGTATCTTGGAGACACAAAACAAGCAACCAGATCGTAGGTTCAGTGAAATTCTGTGTGCTTTTAAAGTCTTTTTTTAGTTAAGTTAGGCAAATAAAAAAAGGGCTCGTGAAAACGAGAGCTGGTGCATGCAGGGAATGTTTATTAATGATCTGGTTATGAGTGTGAAGGACTTCAGCCACGCTGGTGTATTTACTCTGATCTGCAACGTGTGGTTTTCAGAAAGCAGCATCTTAGTCAGAATTCTTTGTAAAAGAGACCAAATGTTAATTAATCAGCCGCAGATTCCTGCAGTGAAAACTTTTGAATTATTATTTTGCTCTTGCCAACAATCTCTGAATTCCCTTTGAACTTCTTCCCGTCTCACCTTTCTTGAATTTCGTCTCATCTAATAATTTGAAGCTTCTTTTTTCTTCAAAGCAAAGCTGTTAATCCATGCTGACTGATGGGTGCAGTGGAAACGCGTCTGTCTGTAACTCTATCAATCATGATATACAGCTGTTCCCCTCTCATCTACTGCTTAGTCATCTGTCAGTGCCTCGCCTTCAACCTCAACTTAAAATGTGTATGAGTGTGACGTTGGTAAGAGGGCGCTCAGGGGAGGGGTTCTTTGACCCTGTTCACAGTAACTATACACTCCTGGAGGGACTTTTCTGTACTCTGTCTTAAGTTTAGAGCCTCAGGGGCTTGTGAGGCAGTAAGGGGATACCTTTGAAAAATAACCCTGGTTTTCCCTTGTTTATCAAAAACTTCACTTTGATGAGTTCGAAGCAAAAATAGGGTTTAGTTAATGATTGCTAAAACGAATCATATTATAACAATTTCTCTCCATTTGAGAGAAGCGTTAGCAGTTATTTTTTCTTATTTGGTCAGACGCTCTACACGGAGAAGTCTACCTCAAACAGCTGTCAGTCTTCAGTCAATGGGAGGTGCTTATCCCTAAGCCTGGTGTGTATGCACGCATGGAAGCAGAGTATAGGTGGACTGTGTTGACCAGTTGAAGAGATCGCTTCCAGCATTAGAGGGATAGAGGCATACCAGTCAAGCTTTTTGGCAACATTTAGGGTTTTGATTACCTAGACTTTAGATAGTCAGACTGCCGTGGAAGTGGGCTGGTGTTTTGGAGAATAGAACCCGTTTTCATTCAGAGACTTGCTAAATTTTAAGATCTTTGTTTTGAAATGGAGTATCGCTACAGCAGGACATACTGTCCATCCTCCGTCTCTTCAGACTCCAGAGGTAAGAACCAGGATGATAAATAATACTGTTAAAAAGGGCTGGAATGACATGTATCATCTTATCAGTTTTAATCATTATCCAAAGCATAAAGTTCCATTTTGCGTCTTCATTTCCAATCCAGCGTGCACCTGGGTTTCAAATATTTTAGATGTTTGACTTTAGCCGGGTCTAGTAAAAAAGAGAAGTTGGCTCACGGCCGATTCCTCTGACATGCTTGAAGATTTTTTAAATATGGGTTGCAAAATAAATTTAAAACTAAAAGTTATTCTGCAGCTTTAGTCATATGAGCATGCATTTGTGCACAAGCTGTGATCACTTTGTAGGTGTTGAAATGCTGATTTGCCCTGAGGTGCTTTAAAAAGTCTGGCATGTCGGGAGCGTTAGAAGTCGTTGCTCCCTAACATTCTGAAGAGGGTGCACACGTTTTTGTTTTTTCAGATATGCACATTGCATGTTGTATGTTGATGTTTGTGGACTGACAGGCATCACTCGTATTCGGTTGTACGTCTGCCATAACTCACGGTCGGTGCAAGCTGTCCACCTCCCACGTTTCATCTTAAAATACACCTGCTGTTGCACGTTGTGCCAGATGCTCAGACTCACCAGGCGTGCAAGCTAAGATCATCAATCATCAAGTAATGTAATCCTTCACTTGAGCTGCTTGGTTTTTGTTATATAAGGTCTAGATGTCTGGCACAATACGCTGACCAGCAAGAAATGTAATAGCATCATTAATTTGACTTTGAACTCCTTTTTTTTGTTCACCAAACAAAAGAATTGCTATGCCTTAGGTTTTTCAGTATGTATCTATATTATTTTTAATCCTGTTGAATGCATTTACCACACAATTTTTTTTCATGATCTACTTTGATGTTCTTGTTTTAGAAAGAACTAAACGTTGTGTTCTTGTCACTCAGTTTGAAACATTTTAACTTAAAGACCACGCTCTGGTGGGGAGATGGTCAGAAGAAGGGGAGGGTATCTCATAGACTTCACAACCTTTTCCTAAGATAACGTATTCAAAAACTTTTAGTCATACCTAAAATTCACTGTAAAGGCTTGCCGTATGAGATATTGAAACTGAGTAGAGCAGTGAACAACTCATTGCTATGTAACGATATAATGGATTAGAGGTGTCCCGACCAGAGAATGAAGTCACTTTCCTTCTTTGTCTGCTGTAACGTGAGCCTCTCAGCTCCATGTTGTGGCAACTGGAATAATTGCAGTCCATGTTTTTGAATATGAGTCGTTCCTTTTAGAAATTGAAGCACTCAGCTGGAAAGAATCTTTCAGCTGTTGGCTCCCATTTGTTTTGGTTTCAGGTGTCTGGTTTTATGTGTGACCCTTAGAGATGTTCTGTTTACATATCTGAACAGTTTTACTTTATGGTCTGTTGCAGAGAAGAGTGGAAAAGAGGTGATGTCCAAAGGATCCTCTGGAATGGAGGTCATCTTGGCTTCACTGGAGGTCAGCTCACATCCGCTTTGAATGTCCTGTCACTGTGTAATACTGAAGCAACTGCTTCTGATGGATAAACCTGTTTATTTAAGCCAATGTGTCACCAGGCTGTGACTCTTGGTGACAGGTTGGAGACACTAAATTGCATGAAAACAAGGTCATTCTCAGTGGAAATCATGTTTTCAGTCATTTTTTCTGCAAAGAAAATAGATTTTTTCTGGTCTCAGTGGATGAATTTTTACTTAGGTTTAGGAGTTCTGCAGGTAATGTCACACCAATCAAAACGGATTAATTACACGAAAAGCTTTAATTAGAGGCAAACATGCAGATTTGAACTATTTGGTGTAATGCCTGTATCACCTTGACAAGTGTGTCGTTTGTGATTTTGACAGAACAGCAGGGATGTCCAGACCACCCTAACCATCTTGAGCATCCTCACTGAGCTGCTAACTGTTGGTGAGAAGTCTTAACTCTTGTTTTTGTCTGACAAAAATCTAAAATTTAGAAATATGATAAATCGTATGCATTATACATTTATTTATAGCTGTAAATAAGTAAAGTGCAAAGAAATGATCTGTTTTCTCAAAGCGTGTAAAGCTTAATTTGACCTCTCCATTAATGATGCGGTGGTAAATTGTGAATTCAGCAGCGACTGATAGGATCAGGGTTTTGCCAAGAGGTTCTAATCGTGTCCTGAATTAAGTTTCATTATATCTAATGCTGTTCTATTCCTGGTTTTCCTGTCTTAGGCAGAGGCCGCAGAGTGGGCGTGTTTGTCTCCAAAGGAGGAACTGGAGTATTATTCCAGATTCTGGTCAATGCCAGTAAAGAGTTTCCTCCCAGTGAGGAACTCATGCTGCAGCTTCACTCACTGCTGGCTAAGGTTGGCCCAAAAGGTATTTTATTGTCACAGTTGAACCACGCAAACATTTAGAGATCAGTTCAATCTGAGACATTTCAGATGTGCCTGTTTATCTGACTTTATTTTATCTGGGTAGAAAAAGCTGTTGTTAAGGGTACCCAGATCAAGACTCATGCCATGTAGCTGAGTTTTTGTAAAACCAAATGTCCTGCTCCGTCTATCCAGGGTTTCCCCCAGCGCTTTATAAGCCTGGCGGCCTGCCAGGCTTTGCTTGGTCACCCGCCAGGCTAAGCGTCATGCCCCGCCCCCCTCTCCGACCCTACCATGTTCGCTGACACGATCGGCGCACGGCAGTGAAATAAAAGTAGGGCCCTCCATCAGCTGATACTGGTGAGAGACAGCAGCGGATTGTGTGCACGTGCACGCCCCCCCCCCCCCCCCCCCCCCCGCGCTGTCACGGACAAGCAACGGAAAGGACTGTCAGCTTCACACACACACACACACACACACTAGAGGTGGGAAAAATGATCGATTCTAAGATGCATCGCGATTCAGCCGTGCACGATTCCGCATCGATGCAGCAACGTGACATAATGAGATTCTCTCCCTATGTCTATGTCGGGGGTCGGCAACCGCGGCTCTGGAGCCGCATGTGGCTCTTCCATCCATCTGATGCGGCTCTCTGTGCTTATAAAATATTGAATGGATATTTAAATAAAATGCTTTATATTTTACTGCATTAATTTTACATCTGTATGCTAATTCTAAACGTAAAGATTGTCTGCGTAAACCTGAACAGCTCCAACCCGGTCTGACTGTGAGACCGGGTTGACGCGTCACGCTTGTGCGTAATCATATCGGCGCATTCTGAGCTGACGAGGACGTGAGATTCTGGGATTCTCCTCAGACGGCTCCTGGATGTGTCGCCACATTGGAGACAGGAACAAGCGCTATTCAGCCAAAGTTTCATAATCAGGGAACATTTTCTAAGTGACAAGTCTCGCTTCAGTCGGAGGAATCTTCCTGCGCTCTGGTTCTGCGACGTGCTCCAAGCCCTCTCCACAACTTCAGCTCGCTGTGCGCCGTACGTACGCGCTGACAGTGAGCTGCGCTGAGCTCAGTGTCAAGCTCAGATGGGAATCATTTCTTAAGTGATTAGCTACATCTGCACGAAACGAATAAAGTGTCAGTTTGTCTGCATGCGTCGGGGTAGTTCTTTCTATTCTTTCTCCGTCAAAATAAACGGTTAAATACGGGAACTATCCGGTCAACACAAGTCCTGCTTTTAACTGTTCTGTTTTCTTGTGAAAATTGTTGCAAAGAGATATAATTTAACTTGATTAACACCAGAGCCAGGCGCACTGCGCCGTTATCTCCGTCGCTGTAAATGAGGGAAAAACAAATTGATCGGATCCTTTTCCGACCTTCCCCACCTACAAAGTTTAATTACAACAATCAAACGTGACAGAGCCTGGATTTGTATCCTGAACAGTCTAAACATGTTTTAAAAAGAAACGTATGACAAAAGTGGCACCTGCTCAGTAAAACCACCAACAGGGTGAAAAATATCAAAATATTGTAGGCAGAGACGGGCTACAACTTCTGGATCCACTTTATATAAATCGTCTTATTGATTATCGTCTTATGAAAGATAACTCTGACGTACACAAGCGACCGGTACTGGCTGCTGTCTGAGGGTAGGCCCCGCCCACAACGCCGCGGCTGCTGCGGTGTTTTCTTTACTGTGGGAAACGGGTAATAATGGCTCTTTGATGGGAACAGGTTGCCGACTCCTGGTCTATGTCTATGCAGGACAATAAAGTTTTGAGGTTTTATAATTACTTCTGGGGGCAGAGTTGCAATGACATGTGCACTGCGTTGCCCTAGAAGCAATTGAACAGGGATACAGGGCCAACAGTAATCAAAGATGTACCCATTACATTTAAATCGGATGTCTGGGCTAATTTCGGTTTTGGGATCCTGGATGTGAAAGAATCACTTAACACAGTATTTGTTTACTATTTTTAAGTTCAGTAATATTCAATCTTAAAGCTGCTCTACCGAAAACATTATTTCTTATATTATTTAAGTCATTATAGGCAGCACACTTTAAACATTATTGCTCACTATAGTGAATAGATGAATGTTCTGTTTTTCAGGGATTTCTAAATCAAAAAGAAATTGAAAACTATTCTACTGTTTTTATTAAGTAATGAAAATTTTTGTGTGAAGAATCGTGATGCATTTCAGACTCAAATCGAATCGTTAGGCAGATAATCGGAATCGGATCAAATCGTGAGGCAGGTAGAGATGCACACCACTAACACACACGCTGTCACGGACGAGCAACAGAAAGGACCGTCAACTTCACACGCACGCACGCACGCACGCACGCACGCACGCACGCACGCACGCACGCACGCACGCACACACACACACACACACACACACACACACGCTGTCACGGACGAGCAACAGAAAGGACCGTCAACTTCACACGCACGCACGCACGCACGCACGCACGCACGCACGCACACACACACACACACACACACACACACACGCTGTCACGGACGAGCAACGGAAAGGACCGTCAACTTCACACACACACACACACACACACACACACACACACACACACACACACACACACACACACACACACACACACACACACGCTGTCACGGACGAGCAACGGAAAGGACCGTCAACTTCACACACACACACACACACACACACACACACACACACACACAGGCACGCACGCTGTCACGGACGAGCAACGGAACTCGGAATTCATACACCAAGCCCGCCCCCCCTCTGACAGTCGGGTCCGCCAGGCTTTACTCGTGTTCTGGGGGAAACCCTGGTCCATCTATGAAAAAAATTAGTGTTCATGCCACCTTGTTTTCACTAAAACAATCTGGTGCCTGTAGGTGGCATAAGTTCTCCAAAACTTTGGCGTCTAAACAATTAGGTTGCACGCAATATCCGTCCTTAAAGTCGTCCTTCGCCTGTAGTCTTCTACACAGAGCAGCAATTGAGCTTGTAAAAACAAGTGAGTTTATACACGGACCACACGTGTGATGTTACAGCATTTTTTTTGTCGCAGGCAGGGGTGTTGCAAAATCTAAGACCGCGGTTATTTACGTCCACAAGCAAATGCTGACAAGAGAGAATTTGCAAATCTCCACTTTGGTCAGAGCCCTCAGGAAAAAAAAAAGTGGTGTATGTCTTTACTGTTGTGTGGATGAAGGACCAACGTGTAGAAAAATACACGGCTACAATTGTACAGGGTCTCACACCTTAAAACTCATGGTGCATACCTATATTTCATCCACCTTTGTTATTATAATTGTTACACAAAATGACTCGAACACCCTGCTCACCTATTCCCTGTGTGTTTCTTCTCTGGTTGCTCTTTGTGCTCTACTCTAAGTGATCCACAGAGCTGTTGGATATCTGGCTCCAAGGGCTTTAATTAAAAAATGAGTCAATCCAGTGAGATGTGATGTTGTGCAGAGGCATCGATCAGACAACAGAACTCCTAACATCTCTTGTAGGCCCAATATTAGGTGCTTCAGATAAGATGGGTTGTAGATTGAGAGGATTTCTTTTAGCAGGCATAGGTCAGGTTGTGCTTCCTCAGATGTATGGGGTTGAGAGACGAGTTTGCTTTTGCTTCAAAGAATGACAACAGGTCACACACTCCACCATCACAATGCTTTGGTCTTTAAGAACAGCGACTTTAAGGGTGTGGATCGCTGAAAACCCATTTTTAAATGGTTATAATCGATCACTCAATCGGTTTTTCATGCAGGCTGAATGTGAAAATAGTCTCCTACACCTATCTCCTGCTTTAGCTTCTGATAGAAAATAGATGGTGAAACTCTAGGATTTGAAAAGCCTGGGAACTCTCCTATTCAAATAACCCCACCCCCTGAGAATTCTAACCGAGCCAATCAGCGCTGAGCAGTGTACGTCACACACCACAACGCTGAGTTTGTCATAAACATGGCGACTGAAGCGGAGTTCGCTACGGCTCTTTCCTCTGTTCTAAATTACTTGGACATGTCTTTAAAACAACAAGAAGTAGAAGCGCTAAAAGCCATTATGCTAAAGAAAGATGTTTGCGCTGTCGCCAGACGCCATTTTTGACTACAGCTGAGAAACTACAGCGTTGCACAGTACAGTCGGCATTTCTGTCTTTTTTCTGATTGGTTATTTTTGAGCTGGCTAGTCCCGCCCCTGAAGTGCCTCTCTGCCTGTGAGTTACCGGACTCTTTCTCTGTGCAGAATTAAACAGAGGACGAGCCTGGCAGGCCAGGCTAATTCATTCCTACTAGAGACCACTGCAAATGTATTGATATCATAACATTTTCCTCCAGTTTGTATTAAAAAGTATGCTAACTGGTCCAGTTTGTCTGGGTCCTGCTTGTTTTTAATATTTCTCTGCTCCAACACACATGATTTGAACCAATGGGTGACTAAACGGCTTCTGCTGAAGAAGTAAATTAACTAATGAATCAGGTGAGTTGAAGCAGGGAAACAACTAAAACATGCAGGAATGGACACAACTGGTTTAAGAAATCAAATCAAATAAACACATCATGTTCACTATTGTGTAATCTTGTTTGTTCAGACAGAAAGTTTGGAATGAAGGCACGTTTAAGCGGCGCTCTAAACGTCACCATCAACTTAATGAAACGAAATCTACTGAATACAAAACTACTCCTGCCCTGTCTGCAGGTGCTCAGGGTTTACGCCACCAGCTGTAAGTAGAAGAAACAGATTTGTCGGAGCTGAACTAAACATATTTGATGTTCCTAACTCTCTTTTTTCCTGCTAATTTTTTTGTCTGTTTATGCAAAGCTGTGAATGCAATTTCATTGGGGAAGAATGGCGTGGTGGAGCTTATGTTCAAGGTTATCGCACCGTACAGCAAGAAGAACACGAGCCTATTAAAGTGAGTGTCCCGCTATTACAGCCAATCATGTCCGAGTTATAGAAGGAACCAGGAGCCTCAGCATAGGCTGCATCACCAACAGCGTTTATGGAGCTTCTGTCACTGACGTCTGTCCGACAGTCTTTAACCCGTTTGCCCTGTTTCAAAATCAACAGGGTAGCTCTGGACGCACTGGGAGCTCTGCTCAAATCCAGTGAGTCTAAAATCTTTACGCAGTACTTCTGTTTTTATTCTCGCCTTCATAAACTTTTCTCTGAACTGAAAAACTTAATTCATAATTCAGACATTGAAATCTTCTGCATTAATCTAAATATAATCTACACACTCTTTCATTTTTCATTCGTTAGACCGTTTAATATCTTATTTAACAGTGATTTTGGTGCCATTACTGTATCTGCGTCTTCATTTGCTCCCCTGTGCAGAAACAAATGCTCGTCGAGCGGTGGACGGTAACTTTGTTCCCGTCTTGCTTAATCTGTACCTGGACTGGCATCGCAATGACGCACGGCATCGCTATATGCTGATTCGTAAAGGGCTGCTGGTCTGCCTCAAAAACATCACTAACATCAAAGTTGGCAGGAAAGCCTTCTTTGAGGCCAACGGCATGAGGATTCTTTACAACTCATCTACTGTGAGTCAGAAAATATGATCAAGTGAGATTTACAGCAACCAGGGTGCAGCCGCTTTTTACTATTTCCTTTGTCTTTAGGAGTGCCTTCCAGTGCGGACTCTGGATCCTCTCGTCAACACTTCAAGTCTCATCATGAGGAAGTGTTTTCCTAAAAACCGCCTGCCTCTGCCGACTATCAAGTCGGCCTTTCACTTCCAGCTGCCTCACGTTCCTGCTGACGGGCCTGTGGCACAGCTGTACAGCCAGCTGCCTGGAGGTAAAACACAAACTCACCCACACTTCCTAATGGCTTCACACTAAACGCACGTTTCAGACCGTTTTAAACGTCCAGCTTACGCAGAGATCTAAGAACAGATGTGCGTCTGTATATGTTGTGTCCAGTGGACGATGTGGTGGATGAAAGTGACGATAACGAGGAGCCAGAGGCAGATTCGGATACAGAGAATGACGAAGATGAGAAGGACAATTGTAGTCTGGTGAGGACTTGCACTTGCATGTTTACATTACATGATGACATCACCTTTACTGGTATTAAAGATTTAAATCATTCTTTTCTGTGATGGTCATCTTGCTAGAAGCGGAAAAGCGCTTTTATTTGTATCTGCACTTCTTCTAGTCTCCAGCAGAGGGCAGCAGCAACTCATCAGCCAAAACACACTTTCACTAAACATCACCAACTTAAAGATACTTTTTGTTTATGTTAAAGTTTTACTTCTGTTTTTTTTTTCTCTCTGTTGAACAGAATGATGACATAGAAACAGACATTAACAAGCTACATCCCAAAAGGTCCATCGGCCGTTCGTTTGAGGAGTTGAAGTTCTATAAGAAATTTTTCTCAGAGTTGTTTGAAGATTTTCAGGTAAGTAGTTTCACAAGCAGATGTTTTTGTTCGTTTAATGATTCAAATTATTTCATGGTAAATGGCCTGTAGTTGATATAGCGCCTTCTAGAGTCCTGGAACCCCCCAAGGCGCTTTACAACACAATCAGTCATTCACCCATTCACACACACACATTCACACACTTGTGGTGATGAGCTCCAATGTAGCCACAGCTGCCCTGGGGTGCACTGACAGAGGCGAGGCTGCCGATCACTGGCGCCACCGGTCCCTCCGACCACCACCAGCAGGCAACGTGGGTTAAGTGTCTTGCCCAAGGACACAACGACAGCGACAGACTGAGCGGGGCTCGAACCTGCAACCTTCTGATTGTGGGGCGAGCCCTTAACTCCTTTGCCACCGTCGCTCCATTCATGTCATACTTGATAACTTAATTTGGAATTTTTTGAGTAAAGAAACAAATTTCGGTGTTTAGCCTGCATCAGTGGCCTAGTGGTAGAGTGTCCACCCTGAGACTGGGAGATCAGGCTTCGATTCCTGGTCGGGTCATACCAAAGACTTTGAAAACATGGGACCCAATGCCTCCCTGCTTGACACTCAGCATTAAGGGGTTGGATCGGGGGGTTAAACCACCAAATGGTTCCTGAGTTTGGCTGTGTCTGCAGCTCACCGCTCCCCCAGGGGATGGGTCAGATGCCGAGAATAAGTTTCACGCACACATCAGTGTGACAACTGATGGGACTTTGACTTTGATCTAGGAGGATAAACAATGAGATCTGATTCACAGTGTACAGTAATCCCTCGTTTATCGCGGTAGATGCGTTCCAGACCTGGCCGCGATAGGTGAAAATCCGCGAAGTAGGGACTCCCAGCATGCCCCTCGCGGGGATTCCCTCCACGTCGCACCTACATCACAAACCGCGGCTATAAACGGAAGTCGCCTTTCCAGCTCACCACTCAGTCATCGTTTCTTCAGATTCATGATCAGAGTTTCCAACCTACCGATCAATCCAACGAACTATCAGCTGAAACTCTAATGGGCCATTCCCATCTGTACCGGGTCGGCCCGGGCCGGGTAGCCCCAGTCGGCCCCAGCCTGGCCCGGTTGATTCCACACATCCTTGTCTTAAGCCCATGTGGGCTGATTATACCCACCAATCAGAGGCTTGCTCTAATGGAAGGTGTGAATTTGCTGTCAGCAGTGGGTGTGTTGGCCCTGGTCGGCCTGAAGCAGACCCCCTCGAGTAGAGGGCTGACATAAATATTAATTTTGTTATTTTTCACTTGTGTGATTCTAAATGACAAAAAAATGAAGCTTAATGACTGACCTGCTGAAAACTAACTGCTCCTTAAAGAAATGCGTTGTTCTTACAGCGCTACGACTTTGAGTGCTCAAAGAGTCTCTCAACATCTTCATCAGCATCCCTCTCCTCATCATCGACTCGGGTCGCGCGGCCAATCGCTCTGCCTGCAGCTTCATCCCAAAAGCAAATCTCACCAAACTCTCAGGAGGATTTCAACTTTGTCAAAAGACTTCACACTCAGCAGTCTCCTTCCACTCCTGCTTCTACCACAACTGCTCCTCAAACACCTATAGACCTGGATTCAATCCATATTAATAAGGATGAAGATAAAAAAGAGGACGCCAAGTTTCCTTCTCCAGATGGACAAACCATTTCAGCCACCTTCTGCAGGTCCCCAGAACAGGAACTCATACACCCACTGGAGTGTGTATCTTTAGAGGACAAAGGAAATCTGAGAGCAGAAGTTGGATCAGAAAGAGTGAAACAAGAAGGGTCTCCAGTCAACAATACGAGGCACATACAGTCACCTTTGCTCTTAGGGGGTATCCCTACCCGTCGTGTGGGAGGAGGCGGGAGTAACTGGGGTTCAGACTGTGGCTCAGAGGGCACCGAGGATGAATCAGGGGAAGGAGCAGTCCTTGAGGTGCCGGACACGGCCCAGCTTCTTCCCCTGCATGATCCAGACCTTTACGTGGAGATGGTAAAGGAGACGTTTTCTGTCCCTCGATACGCTGAAGTGGCTTACCCCGACTACTTTGGTCATGTTGCTCCAACATCTAAGGAACCTCTTCTGGAGAGACTCTACGGTGTTCAGAGGTGAGGATTAGCAAAAAACAAAGTGTGTTTCTTTTGTTTGAACAGCATTATGAATAATGTTAGGAATGTGCAGCATTCAATAGTTTTCTCGTTTTCTCATAAACACCTTTTTAGCTCCTGACATTTAAAAAAAAATAAAAACACGTTTTGCAATTATTATGTTATTTTTTAAACAAATTTTACTAACAGAAGTAATTTGGTTATAATGAGTAGTAATTTATCCCTGAGGGATGATCCTTAAATCTGCTATAGCAAATTTGCAAACAAGCTAGGTTTTGAACATAAACACGGTTATGGAAAACTCACCCCTCCCCTCTGGTATCTTCCCTGGGACGCTTCTGCTGGAACCGGAAACTCGCGATGTCTGAGGAAATGATGTAGTACTAAACACCAGTTGCCATTTTCTAGGTCCAAACGTATTTGTCCGTGACTTCAAGTGGTGTTTTTCGTTTTGAGACTCTGATAGTTTGTCTTAAAAGGACTTTTTGGACTTTTGAAATTTTATGCTCGTGATTGCCCCCTCAGGCCAAAAACGTGACGGCAGCTTCAATTGTAGGCTCGTGCATGAGGCGTGCATGCTGTACGTGCACACTGCTTAATGAAAATAACAGCTGAGACAGTCCTGTGTGTGTGTGTGGCCCGGAGGACAGAAGAACACAGCAAATTAATAAACATAATGTGCCTCTGTCTCTGCAGCTGCACTTTCTTGTTGGCCGCCGAAAGTGCAGTGTGTGTGTGTGTGTGTGTGTATGTGTGTGTGTGTGGCCCGGAGGACAGAGGACAGGAGAACGCGCAGCTAATAATTAAATAGTTTGGTTCTGTACCTTTCTCTTCAGCACAACCGACAAAGGTTTATGATGGGACAATCCTCCTGCATGCTCAGATCATTCCCTTCCCTTGCTTGAAAAATTGTTCCAAAATGAAAGTTGAACCCACTTCTTTTTTATTTGTCAACTCAATGCCGTTCGGCGAGTCTCAAATAAAAATTTGGGCATCTTACTGTAAAAAAATATACCATTAATGTAAAAAAGAAACTCCAAATAAATTATGTTCACACCCGGAATCAAACCCAAGTCTTCTGCATGAGAGTCAGCCATCTTGCTAGGTGAGCTAAAGCACCAGTAACATTCAACGTATCAGCAACATTTATATCCTTGATGACAGCTGAAACGACGTCAATCCAAAGAACGGTTCAAAGCAAAAATGGCAATTTTGTTGCTAATTTGCAGGAAATATCTAGAAGAAAGTTCTACAGAAAGTAGCTAAGGGTCCTCAGAAATGTAGCTAGGTTCATCACTAGGCGTTAGGAACAGTGACAAAGTCGCTGAGTTGGCACTGCCTCTCTCTCTGCTGCTAAAGCTACGGATAGCAAACGCTACGGGCTATGCCTGAGCGTGAACGTGCATGAAGCAGTCTGCTCGACCCGAGCATCTCTCTTTTTCTGTGATTTTACAGAAAAACAGGCAATCACAGTAAAAGTGCCAGGGCTCATTCTACAGGACCAGGGCATTGCAGGAGAATGTATGAAGACATTTATTATTTCTATACATGTTTTGGCTGTCAAACTTCCATAATGCCCCTTTAAAGTTGAAGTGGTGGCATTCAACAGTTTCTCCTTCTCTGATATTATTGAACTGTGAACCTCTCACACCAGTGGTGTTCTACTATTAAATACGAGAGTGTGTAATGAATAGAGGACCCAGGAAAGTGCAGAAGTACAGCGGTTCGGCAAGACTGACAACCGGATGGTCCAATAGTTGCTTTTGGTCCAAACGTGTTATTGGCAGGGGGTTTTAGACAAATGCGAGAGAACCACTTAATTAATTTTTTGCATTTTGTTTAATCTCCACTGTATATTTATAGCTATACGATGTGAGAATGTTAAGAGGCATGAAAAAAAATTTTGAAGCTAATTTGTTTTCCAAGTTTGCCAAATTTTGTGTTCAACTCTGCAGGTCAAAGATATTTCAAGACATTGAACGGTTGATCCATCCTAATGACATTCTGGATAAAGTAGTTTATGACCTGGACATTCCCAGGTCAGTTCATCTCAATAAGCAAATGAAGCAAAACATTTTCTCTTAACATTTTATTAGCTTGTTTTGTAGTACTGACTGGAAAACCTCTGATAATTACCTTTGTAGAGTTGTTCCTCTTAAATATTGTTTCAGTTGTCCCGTGGTTGAAGACAGTGGCGAATCGCTAAAGTTCAACTCCCAGTTTGAGTCGGGCAACCTCAGGAAGGCTGTTCAAGTTAGAAAGTAAGTATAAAGACAATAATAATGAGTAATGTTGATGATTTGACTCATATTTACAGTTCATTCTAAGTTTGGACAAAATTATTGACCATCAGAGATAGTCCAAGCCCTTCGTTGATCATTTTTTCATTAAGGATTGTTTTTTTTTTAGTCCTGTGAATTAATCTTGCAGATAGGACATTACCAATTACCACCTCAAATCAGCCTCTATTTTGCAACACGTTTTCTATGTACGTACACATAGTTAAATTCTTTTGATTCCAATTTTAAAAGGCAATCATGGATAGAACCACAAAAGTAGATGCAGTAAACACTTTTGTCACACCACTCGCAAACTCTAAATAATGTGTAGTCGCTAGTTGAAGCCCATATAATTGACTCTATAGAGCCGTCTTGAGCAAAAAACCTTTTTACATTCACAAGGGTCCAATCAATGTCCTCCAAAGTATAGTTGGTTTACAATTCTTACGTCCAACATAAAATACTGCTGAAAAATTAATTTATTTTTTCCTTTGGATGCATCTCTTTCTCATCATAATCTCCATTTGCATCTTCATATTAACTTCAAAGTTCTGAGCGACATCTTACTGATCCACAGGTGAAGCGTGAGGCAAAATCAGCTATTGGCTGATAGGTCAGAGGTCCCGCCCCCGTTATCATTCGTGTGGCTGAAACTAATGTCGGTGTGGAATGTTAGTAGAGTAGATGCATCAATGAAATTCTGAAAATAAGGAAATCTCACGTGGACACCTCGTGGTCTGCTTTTCCAAACCGATCTAAATGATTGTGATTGGTGGATCGCTGTGTGCAGTCAGTGTGCGTCAGGCCCACACAACGTCTAAATGTCACCTGCAAGATTATATCGTCGATCATCATTCTTTGGACTAACCGATGTCGCTTGAAAGCCTTTTATGCATTATATCGCCCAACTTTAGTTCATATCATGTTTCTCCAGATACGAGTACGATCTGGTGCTGAACGCAGACATCAACAGCAATCACTACCATCAGTGGTTCTACTTCGAAGTGAGTGGCATGCGTGTCGGAACAACCTATCGCTTCAACATCATCAACTGTGAGAAGTCCAACAGCCAGTTTAACTACGGTGAGATGCTCAACAGTCACCTGTGTCAGAACATTTGGCCTACTGAGTATTAGCATCACCAGTTTCAAATTATGTTTACCTAACTTCAACGGTCACAGATTAACTACATCTGTGTGCGTACCTGCTCTCTTCTGCAGGCATGCAGGTGCTGATGTACTCTGTGCAAGAAGCCATCAGTGGCCGACCATGCTGGGTCAGGGCAGGAACAGACATCTGTTACTATAAGTAAGTACACTGACATTGTAGTAGCCCTGCACAAAGACTTATTATAGACAAAAGTCATAAAAGAAACTACACTTAGTATCATGGTTTCATGGGATGAGATCAATTTAATGCATTAATGGAGTATCTTCTGTATTATTACATTTTATATACGCTATAGAGAACAGACTCGACTCTATAGTATATTTTATAGCCTGCTACATGGACAAAACTGGTTATGAGCTGGTATTAGTGGACTAAGTGCTCGATTGTTTTTCAAAATCCTTCTTTAGAAAGTGCACCCCTCCCTGCCACTTGCTCTCCACTCACATATCCTTCCTAAATAAAAATAACTTTCAAAAGTATTGATGGTGTCGTCCAATTTATTATCCGTCGATTGATTCTAATGCTCTATTTTAAAATTAGTTGCTTTTGGTAGAATTTGAGAAAAGTGTTATGTTGTAGCAGAAGTCTATAGCTGTACACCTAATGATGCAACATTTTGTATGATGTCTTCATAGGAATCATTTTGCAAGGAGTTCCATTGCAGCTGGTGGGCAGAAGGGAAAATCCTATTACACGCTGACCTTCAGCATCACCTTCAGCCATAAGGATGACGTCTGCTACTTTGCATATCATTACCCGTATACGTACTCCTCGCTGAAGGTGACACAGCTGCACCAGTGATTGTTTCACTTTGGAAACTCTTATCCTCTGGTGGGCTGACTCTAATTTGTCTTTGCATTCAGATGCATTTGTCCAAGCTGGAGGATTTGAGGACTCCTCGGATTTATCTGAGACAGGATGTGCTGTGTGAAACCCTCAGCGGGAATAGCTGTCCTCTTCTCACCATCACCGCCATGCCCGAGTCCAACTCAAACGATCACATCTGTCAGTTCAGTAAGTCACCAACTGCAGATCCAAACATGCAGATTTTTTAATCTATTGTAGGTTTTTGATCGGTGGCGGCTTGTCCACTTGTCTCACAGGAAGAGGAAGAAGTAAATCACAAAATCCAAAAAAAAAAAGCTTGAAAATTAAACAAGCTATACATCATACAGGCTATAAGTACTGTGTATAATTTGCATTTAAGTGTAGTTTAAAAATGTTCTCTCTCACTTTTACCACGACTGAAATGTCTTGTAACGTATTTCCTGTTTCTTTCGAGTGCAGCAATCTTTACCATAGACCTATGGTATAACTGGCACAGGTGTGCTGGATCCCCCTCAAAGAGCCTTTGGGCGCAGAGATTTCCGATCAGAGCATGCGTGGATCCGGAGTCTCAGATCAGGATGTTCACCTGGAACTCAGAGCCAATAGAATCACTTGTTGTTGAGTTATTTTTGGCTGGCTGTCGTATTAACCAATCACAGGAAGAGAAACACAATAAAACAGAAAATGACGGAATGTGGTGTCGGAGATTTGTAAACACTCTCCCGCAGATTAAAAAAAGTCCAAAACGGTCGGGAATCAGCTCATTGTGAATGAACCGAGTGGATTTGTTTTTACTATAACACGGATTATGACCATAAACTAGCAAAGAATGAATGCTTTTGACCTCATGAAATTTGCTTCTACTTATATTTTTAGAAAGAGGAGAGTCTGGGCTTTAATTTAAATGGCTGCTTCTGTGGTTAGGATTACATAGCACTGTCACTATTGTGTGTTTTTCTCAATGTAGTGTCTTTACGGCCTGTTCATTTAAGCCGTTTTTACAGAACAGTGCTGTCAATTTGCTGCAACGCTGAAGCAGCATCAGACGCCTTAAGCCTTAAGTGATCAGACAGATAATTACCACATTGCTACAACATGAAGCAGGACGAATGCCACAAAGTTCACGCATTGCCATGCTGGCATGGTGCATTTATAACACACACCGTTGCGGTAATATTACGGCGATTTGCCGGCAAGGGTGTGTCTTGTATAAAGGGTTTAGTTGTTTATTGTTGGCGTTGGGTTTTGTTGAGGTAAAAAGACGAGCCTCTTCCCGTTATGTTCGTGTGCACTTGGCATATATTTGTGGGTATTAAACATTATTTTGAAACAACTTTGTTACCGAAAGTGCTTGTGGACCTGGCACCAGTACGTCAGGTTCAAGTTGTGTGATGCATAAGAATGGTAATTTGGTGTCCCCTAGTGGTGATATGTGGTTAGAGCACATCTGAAAACAATGCATTCCACCAAAAAACAAATTAACTAGCTGCCACTTTTAGATATAAGATGATGCAACCGTCTTTAATGATGAAAAACAGATGAACTACGTAAAATTCTGTGGAGAGAGGTATTAATTCTGACAGGTTATTTTAAAAGGATGGTCCAGAATTTGAGTTGTTCTGTAAAAACATGGCAAAATGGACAGGATTTCTATGCAGAAGGATTTTTGGAAGAATTGTTGTCACCTGGGTCATGTTGTGTTTATTGTCACACAAGACAAATCGAACCGACAAACTGATTTCATGCTCAGGATGAAAATACATTTTTGGCTATCTTAGGTGTGTTCTTGCTGTGTCTTTGTAAATCCATGCTTTCGTTCTTTTTTAAACACAGAAACAGTTTTGTTTACCTGTTTGTAGCTACGGTTTCGCCGACAGCTGCCGGCTTCTTCAGGCTGACGCTGATGGTGGCGCGTCACTTCCTTCTAAGTTTATCTGCGGGCAGCAGAGGATGTTGTCGCCCTCTACTGCCCGCTCTCCCCTCTCCGACGATGCAGTCCCATGCGTGGTCCAGCGTGTAAACTCCGTCGTCCCTGTTCATGGTCCCACATCCACGTCTCCTTATCTCTATTGCTTCCTTGATCCATCTTTTGTATTTTTGTTGTTCAGTGGTTATGATCCGTGTGCTGTCCCAGTCCATTATGTGGTTTTCTCTTAAGCAATGATCTGTTACGGCTGACTTTTTTATTGTACTTTCTGCTTCTTCTTTTGCTGCTCTTGTGTGTTTACGATTTGCCTCTTTCTCGCACTCCTTTCTGTGTTCTATTGTTCGTGTATTGAGTTGGCGTCCGGTTTCTCCTATGTATGTTTTATTGCATATTTTGCATGGGATTTCGTAGATGACTCCACATTTTTGTCCAGCTGATATTTTGTCTTTTGGGTGCACTAGTCTGTTTCTAACTGTTGTGTATGGTTTTGTTGGTGTGTTTATGTTGTGTTTTTTCATTGTTGCTCTTATTTTTTCCGTTATGCCTCTGATGTATGGTAGGGTTATCACTGGTTTTGGTTCTTGTCTTTCTGGGTTTCTGGTTCTTTTTTTGGGTTGTTCTTTGCTTTCTGTTTTTGTTTGTTGTTTTCCTTTGTTTATTGCCCATGTCGGGTATCTGCAGGTCTTTAAAGCGTGTTGTATGTGTTTGTCCTCTTGTTTACGGTCTCTCTCTTCTGTTATTATGTTTGCTCGGTGATATAATGTTCTGATTACTGACATTTTGTGTATGGTGGGGTGTTCTGATGTCCATAATAAATATTGGTCTGTGTGTGTTGGTTTCCTGTATGTGTTTATGTTTAGGGTCCCGTCGGTCTGCCTGGTGATTTTCATGTCCATAAATGCTATGCTGCCTTCTGTTTCTAACTCACAAGTGAATTTTATGTTGCCCGTGTCGTCAATATTGTTTAAGTGTTGTGTTAGTGTTTCTGTTTGACCTTTTGGTATGATTTCCAGTATGTCGTCTACGTAGCGTTTCCATAGTTTTATTTTGCAGTTTGGGGGGGCGGTGGCTATGGCTTTTTGTTCCAGGTCTTCCATGAAAAACTTGCACAGGGTGGCTGATAACGGGTTACCCATGGCGAAGCCTTCCAGTTGTTTGTATATTGTGTTGTCGTATGTGAAGTAAGTGGAGTTAGCTACCAGTCCTATCAGTTGTGCTATGTCATCTGCTGTGAGGTTTGTCCTTTTATGTAAAGTTTTGTCTTGTCTGATTCTGTTAACTACTATGTCTATGGTTTTTTGGGTTGGTGTTTTTGTGAACAGAGATGTGACGTCATGTGAGATGAGTATGTCGTTGTCTTCTATTGTAATTTCCTTTAGTTCTTTTGCCAATTCTATGCTATTTTTGCAGTGTTGGTCTGTATTTCCTAATAACGGGCTGATGATTCTGCTGATATCTTTTGCCATGTTGTATGTTGGTGTACCTATGCTGTCAACTATTGGTCTAAGTGGGGTGTTTTGTTTATGTATTTTTGGTGTTCCATATATTCTTGGTGTTATGTTTGCTGTGGGAATCCAGTGTTTGTACATTTTTTCTGTTATTTTGCCTTTTTCGTGCAGTGGCTTCAGTAATTTTTTCATGTTTTTCTTAATGTTTTCTGTTGGATCTTTTTTAAGTATTTCATATGTATTTTTGTCTTCTAGCATCTGTTACATCTGTTGTTTATATTTTTCTCTGTCCATAACTACTGTGGTTCTTCCTTTATCTGCCGGTAGAATAATTATCTGTTCATTTTTGGATAAAGCTGTCATGGCTGATTGTTCTTCTTTTGTAATATTGCTGTGTTGAATTTGGCTGTTTTTTAATATCCCAACTATGTTATTTCTGAGTTCTGCTTTCTTTCCCTCATCTGTGATCTGTTGACATGCTAGTTCTGTTGCTACAATAAATTCATCATATGGTATTTCTTTTGGTGTGACTGCAAAGTTTAAACCTTTCTTTAATATGCTCTCTTCTGCTTCTGTTAGTTTGTATTGTGAAATGTTACATACCCATGAGTTTGGTGTGGAGTTGCCTTGTATTTCTCCCCTCTTTTTCTTGTTTATGAGTCTGTTTAACTTCTTTATGTGTCTTTCTTTCACTTTTATGAACTCTTGTTCCTGTTTTTCCATCATGTGTCCTTTAATTAGTTCCTCCATTTGTTTATCAAGTTTGTAATTCCTTTTCAAGTCCAGGTGTCCTCTTTCCAGTTCGTCCTCCACACGCCTCTGTTTGGTTATGACGTTCCTTATCCTCTCCTTGAGCAGTGCTCTCTGTGCTCTTTCTATTATATTTTGTGCTGTCTGGGTCCGGATCGATGTTTTCAGCTGTAAGCTTGCGGGCGTGATGTTTTCGTCCCGGCATCTTAAACAGAAGCGAAGGTGGTTTCTTAGACGTGCGCGTTTCTGGTGTAATCGTTCCAAACGGCGGAAGTCCTTCGTTCCTTGTTGTCCGTATTTCTCTTTGAACATCTTAGGTGTGTTCTTGCTGTGTCTTTGTAAATCCATGCTTTCGTTCTTTTTTAAACAGAAACAGTTTTGTTTACCTGTTTGTAGCTACGGTTTCGCCGACAGCTGCCGGCTTCTTCAGGCTGACGCTGATGGTGGGGCGTCACTTCCTTCTCCGTTTATCTGCGGGCAGTAGAGGACGTTGTCGCCCTCTACTGCCCGCTCTGACCGTAAACAAGAGGACAAACACATACAACACGCTTTAAAGACCTGCAGATACCCGACATGGGCAATAAACAAAGGAAAACAACAAACAAAAACAGAAAGCAAAGAACAACCCAAAAAAAGAACCAGAAACCCAGAAAGACAAGAACCAAAACCAGTGATAACCCTACCATACATCAGAGGCATAACGGAAAAAATAAGAGCAACAATGAAAAAACACAACATAAACACACCAACAAAGCCATACACAACAGTTAGAAACAGATTAGTACACCCAAAAGACAAAATATCAGCTGGACAAAAATGTGGAGTCATCTACGAAATCCCATGCAAAATATGCAATAAAACATACATAGGAGAAACCGGACGCAAACTCAATACACGAACAATAGAACACAGAAAGGAGTGCGAGAAAGAGGCAAATCGTAAACACACAAGAGCAGCAAAAGAAGAAGCAGAAAGTACAATAAAGAAGTCAGCCGTAACAGATCATTGCTTAAGAGAAAACCATATAATGGACTGGGACAGCACACGGATCATAACCACTGAACAACAAAAATACAAAAGATGGATCAAGGAAGCAATAGAGATAAGGAGACGTGGATGTGGGACCATGAACAGGGACGACGGAGTTTACACGCTGGACCACGCATGGGACTGCATCGTCGGAGAGGGGAGTGCGGGTTAGTAGTGGGCGACAACGTCCTCTGCTGCCCGCAGATAAACTTAGAAGGAAGTGACGCGCCACCATCAGCGTCAGCCTGAAGAAGCCGGCAGCTGTCGGCGAAACCGTAGCTACAAACAGGTAAACAAAACTGTTTCTGTGTTTAAAAAAGAACGAAAGCATACATTTTTGGCTTCTGGGGAAAAGTGCACAATTCTCTCAGGAAATAAATCTTTTCAAGACAAAGTCTGATTGAATTAGTTGAAGCTTGTGTGGTCTCTTCAAAAGATAGAAAGAGATTTTTAAATGACTGAAATGTTCTTTTCTTTTGTAAAACACTTGAGCAATTAGGTTGAAAACTACTGGATGGCCTTGGACCATCAAGACATGTTTATGTAACTCCACCATTCTTTGTTGAAGCCCTTTTGTTAGTAGTAAAAATACTTTTCATGAAATAATCTTTTAGTTTTCCTTTCTGTACGAGTGCTTGCTCTCTACCTGATCTCTTTCTCCCTTTTCAGGGAATCGCCCGTTGATCTTCTTGTCAGCCAGGGTGCACCCCGGAGAGACCAACGCCAGCTGGGTAATGAAGGGCACGCTGGAGTTTCTGATGGGCTCCAGCCCACTGGCAGCCAGCCTCAGAGAGGCCTACATTTTCAAGATAGTTCCCATGCTCAACCCCGACGGAGTTGTTAATGGAAAGTAAGTTCAGAGACAAGCAGTGAAATTAACTTAAAAAAAAACATCTTTCTGCTGAACCTGGGGCCTATGCTGTGGTCACAGCTTAATGTACAACAACTCACATAAAGTCTCATCTGAATGGATTCTCTCGCTGTTTCTCTGTTATCCTTCCCCTCCTCTGCCGTCTCCTTCCTGCTGTAGTCATCGTTGTTCTCTGAGTGGGGAGGATTTGAATCGCCAGTGGCTGAACCCCAATCCCGAGCTCCACCCTACCATCTACCACACTAAGAGCCTGCTGCAGTATCTTGCATACATACAAAGAGCCCCACTGGTATGACCTCTAATTAACTGCACTTGAACTACTTAGGGGGACGCTTTGTTTAGCACTTTTTCAGCATTATTTTTCAGAGTATTGTTGCTAGTTCTCTTGCTAGGCTGCACATCCTATTCAGATGCATTCCCTCAGTGTTAAAAATCAATGAATGTTTTATGATAGTAATGCGTTCACCAGTGCTACACTTTGTGTTAGTGTAGAGAGATATGTGTACAATATAAAGAATAACTAGAACACAGACTTTTAATAATAACATATTTTTTTAGATGAATGTGTTTCCTCCTAATTTGCATGTATTTAATAAAGAGTACATTTTTTATTGGTGAACCTTCATGATTCGTCATGATTTCCTCTGCTTCTCTTACCTTTTTGTGCGTGTGCAGGTGTTTTGTGATTACCACGGCCATTCCAGGAAGAAGAACGTCTTCATGTACGGCTGCAGTGTGAAGGAGACAGTCTGGCAGACAAATATCAGCGCCAGCTCAAGTGACTTGCAGGAGGATCTCGGATACAGGGTGAACAGAATCCACAAATAGCGTTTGTTTTTCCTTGTTTGAATCAGTTTAATTTAGTTTTGCCACCAAAAAGACTTAACACCAATAGTATCAAATTTGGGCGATCCATCCCAAAGCAAACTCATCTAAATGCATCAGTCAGTCTGTCAGTGCGTCCCAGGGCAGCTGTGGCTACATCCTAGCTCATCCCCACCAGCTTGTGAATGTGTGTGTGTGAATGGGTGAATGTTGTGAAGCACCTTGGGGGGTTGTAGAACCCTAAGAAGGTGCTATACAAATACCATTTTACCATTTACCACATCTTGGCTTGCGACCAGGGAAGACTATTGCTGACTTAGCATCCAGGAGAGGGCAGAGCACATCTCAGCTAGTAGAAGCTAACTGTTAGCATTGGCAACGCCACAGCACGGCAGAACTTCTTCAGATCTGTGCTATTTGTGGAGATAGAATTGTCTATGTGGCTGTTGCGTTACTATTAGCCAATCAGAGGTGAGATGTTTGCGTATCTTCGTCTTCGTCTTCCTCCGCTTATCCGGGTCCGGGTCGCGGGGACAGCATCCCAATTAGGGAGCTCCAGGCCGTCCTCTCCCCGGCCTTGTCCACCAGCTCCTCCGGCAGGACCCCAAGGCGTTCCCGGACCAGATTGGAGATGTAACCTCTCCAATGTGTCCTGGGTCGACCCGGGGGCCTTCTGCCGGCAGGACATGCCCGAAACACCTCCCCGGGGAGGCGTCCAGGAGGCATCCTGACCAGATGCCCAAACCACCTCAACTGGCTCCTTTCGATCCGGAGGAGCAGCGGTTCTACTCCGAGTCCCTCCCGAATGTCCGAGCTCCTCACCCTATCTCTAAGGCTGAGCCCGGCCACCCTACGGAGGAAACTCATTTCGGCCGCTTGTATCCGCGATCTCGTTCTTTCGGTCATTACCCAAAGCTCATGACCATAGGTGAGGATTGGGACGTAGATCGACCGGTAAATCGAGAGCCTGGCTTTCTGGCTCAGCTCCCTCTTCCCCACGACAGATCGGCTCAGCGTCCGCATCACTGCAGACGCCGAACCAATCCGCCTGTCGATCTCCCGATCCCTCCTACCCTCACTCGTGAACAAGACCCCGAGATACTTAAACTCCTCCACTTGAGGTAGGACCTCTCCCCCGACCCGGAGGTGGCAAGCCACCCTTTTCCGGTCGAGAACCATGGTCTCAGATTTGGAGGTGCTGATCCTCATCCCAGCCGCTTCACATTCGGCCGCGAACCTACCCAGCAAGAGCTGAAGGTCAGAGCTGGATGAAGCTAGGAGGACCACATCATCCGCAAAAAGCAGAGACGAGATTCTCCTGCCACCAAACTCGACACACTCCACACCACGGCTGCGTCTAGAAATTCTGTCCATAAAAGTGATGAACAGAACCGGTGACAAAGGGCAGCCCTGGCGGAGTCCAACCCTCACTGGGAACAGGTCCGACTTACTACCGGCTATGCGGACCAAACTCACGCTCCTCTGGTAAAGGGACTGAATGGCCCTTAACAGAAAGCCACCCACCCCATACTCCTGGAGCGTCCCCCACAGGGTGCCCCTGGGAACACGGTCATAAGCCTTCTCCAAATCCACAAAGCACATGTGGATTGGTTGGGCAAACTCCCATGCCCCCTCCATCACCCTTGCAAGGGTATAGAGCTGGTCCACAGTTCCACGGCCAGGACGAAAACCACATTGCTCCTCCTCAATCTGAGATTCAACTATCGATCGGACCCTCTTCTCCAATACCTTGGCGTAGACCTTTCCCGGGAGGCTGAGGAGTGTGATCCCCCTATAGTTGGAACACACCCTCAGGTCACCCTTCTTAAAGATGGGTACCACCACCCCGGTCTGCCACTCCCTAGGAACTGCCCCCGATGACCACGCAATGTTGTAGAGACGTGTCAACCATGACAGCCCTACAACATCCATAGCCTTGAGATACCCAGGACGAACCTCATCCGCCCCCGGGGCTCCGCCGCTGTGTAGTTGTTTGACTACCTCAGCAACTTCTGCCCCCGAGATCGGACAGTCCATCCCCAGGCCTCCCAGCTCTGGTTCCTCCTCGGAATGCGCATTGGTGGGATTGAGGAGCTCCTCAAAGTATTCCTTCCACCGTCCGACTATAGCCTCAGTTGACGTCAGCAGCTCCCCATCCCCACTGTAAACAGTGTGAGCGAGTTGCTGCCTTCCTCTCCTGAGGCGCCGGACAGTTTGCCAGAACCTCTTTGGAGCCGATCGATAGTCTTTCTCCATGGCCTCACCAAACTCCTCCCACGCCCGAGATTTTGCCTCGGCAACTGCCACTGCTGCACCCCGCTTGGCTATCCGGTACCTGTCTGCTGCCTCCGGAGACCCACAGACCAGCCACGCCCTGTAGGCCTCCTTCTTCAGCCTGACGGCTCCCCGAACCTCTGGTGTCCACCAGCGGGTACGGGGGTTGCCACCACGACTGGCACCGGCCACCTTACGACCACAGCTAGCAACAGCCGCCTCGACAATCGCAGAGTGGAACAAGGCCCACTCGGACTCAATGTCCCCCACTGCGTATCATTAATAGAATATTAATGAGAAAGACTCCAAGCACCCCCCATGGCTGGAAAAATTTCCGGGGGAAACACTGACACTTGCACACAAAAACATTTATAGAAATTTACTTTCATATTTTTAGACTCTTCCTAAGATCCTGTCCCAGATCGCCCCGGCCTTCAGCATGGGAAGCTCCAGTTTTGTCGTGGAGCGTTCCAAAGAGTCGACCGCCCGTGTTGTTGTGTGGAGGGAGATCGGAGTCCAGCGCAGTTACACTATGGAGAGCACGCTGTGTGGCTGTGACCAGGGCAAATATAAGGTGTGTGCTGGATTTACACTACGAACTAATCTAGTGTTCAGAATGCAGATTACTGCATTGACTTCATATATTCTTGTCACCAGCATTTAATTTAAACAAATCTATAAATATCTCTTTTTGAGTGCAAACTAATTGATAAGATAGTTTTTTTTTGTGTGCTAAAATAATTTAAAGAACATAAAGAAGGAAATAAACATCATAATTGGACTTGGAGCTGCCTCCTAAATCATCCACCAGGTGGAGGCACAGTTCTTTTCCTCCCACTCTGATCAGTCCCTATCCATTCTACAACGTTCCATTTTCTCTCTCCATGTTTTCCCTTCCCAGTTGTTTTCTCAGCTCTTAGTTTTGCCAAAGTCAATATTTAATATATTTGGAGTTCAAGAGGTCTCTCTTGTTCTCTGTGAGAACATTTGGCCACATTTGCAGGGACTGTTGTCTTCTAAATTGTAGCTGTAGCCAAGTTTGAATGTTTCTACTTCTGCTCTGGGGGAAAATAAACTAAGTGTCCTGGTTGAACCGGAGGTCAGCTTAGGGTGGGGGTTCTCCTTTGCTTCGTCTGTTCAGGGTTTGTAAGTATCTGTACGCAGTTGAGTGTAATGTTATGTAATTTATTCTGAGTTTGTTTTGGAGGTCAAACTCACATGATGATTATTTTGAATGTTCTTTACAGGGACTTCAGATTGGTACCAGAGAGCTGGAAGAGATGGGAGCTCAATTCTGTGTGGCTCTGCTGAGGCTGAAGAGGTTAACTGGTCTCCGCAATCACCAGAATCTGCTGGATTTAGAGTGCGACATCATCGGGACGCAGTCAAAAGCAGCCAGGTCTGTGGTAGGGAATAAAATAAAATAAAAGTCTAAATTGATTTATTTATCCAGGAATGTATTTGTCAAACATAACCCAGTTCCAGACCCTCTTCTACTGCCCTGTTGTTTTGTGATCTGAGGTTAAACGCTGCATGTTGAAGCCAGGTGCTCACACTCCTGTTGGCCTGAATTATTTGTTATAATGTCAAATCCTGGTTGTTCATAGCCTCATTTTTATGTTTTACAGACATGTCTGACCTGAAACTTAAACACAGGCACCATGTTAACTCTGCTCAATCTGAAACCAGCTGTAATCTGTAATGTCAGAGTTGTAAATGCAGCTTCTGGTTTTCCTCGGCAGGGGAAATAAATGAAGGGTTGTGTTTATGCAGTGCTAGAGTGAGCGTCATTTGAGTTTTATCAACCGTCTCCCCAAGCAGCGTTTTTCAGGGACTGCTCTTGTAGTCAGTGGCACTGGGCTGCCCGGCATGGATTAAGTGGACATTGAACATGTAAACTAGGCTGCCCTTCTACATGACCAGAATATATTTGCATGCTATTAGAGACCTAAGTACCAGTCTGTTCAAAGGCAACTGCACTAAGTATGTTTATAATGTAGCTATATGACACAAAGACCCACATCACGGCTCTACCAAGGGTAACACACGCCGTTGTGTTGTTTGCGTGTCTTGTACACGGGTAAGAGCTGAGATAATTTAGGTTTCTTATCTGAGATGACAGCTTTTTCTTTTCTATCAACCTTCAGTAGTAATTTTTCTGTGAATAATAGAATGAGATAAAAGTAATAAGCCATTTTCCGCTTCAATTTTCTTCCATAGGAAGTACAAATTTATCTTTTCGCTAAAGTAATTTCAATTTTACTATCAGGTTTGGTGTTTTACATAAAAAACCAGCAGCCCATGCTTTGATCGTACTTTCTTCATGAATGTCGGGGATGCTCGATATTGGCTCTCTACCAATATCCGTTATACTGACATTGTCCAACTTTTAATTTCTGGTACTGATATATGCAGACCCCCCCCCATAAAACAAACCTAAATCGTTTTAGGGTGCTACCATCACTTATCTCCATCCTTCAACTGTAAACATTATCTTTGCAAAATGACAACTACTTAAATTTAAGTTAGTCAATAAGAAAAAATGTCATGTTTAATTGGTCTCCAACGGCAGCTGACTAACCCGCTGTGATGCCTTTAGGCCAAAGATCATTTTTAAGTTCATGATGGGAAAAATGTTTGACTAATAAGTTAATAATTTTGAAAACAGATTAAAGTTTTTATGAACAATCTTTGTTACATATTCACCTCAAATAACGTATTTGCTTTGCTCACGTTTATGTTTAAGCAGAAACAAGACTCTGAATGTGCTTTATAGGTTTGTACCTTGAAGGACCTTCGTTTTTGTAACCATCAATGTGTTTAGTAGAAGCCAACCGATATGGGTTTTTAAGGCCGATGCTGATACCGATTTTTAAAGAATTTTGTTGCCGATGGCTGATATCTACAGCCGATCATTAAGGCCGATCTATATACAATACATCACTGTAATTTAGACTAAAACGTTTTCAAAAGAGAAAGTAAAGAAAGACTCTGCACAATCAGTGTGTTTATTTCTGACCTTAACTCACAGCCTTCTACTCACAACCAAAGTGAAGATGCCTCTGGATGAAAAGAAAAATGTCTTCAAGGTAACCAGAAAAGTCCAGCTGTTTTTTTATATTAAAGCTCAGGATGGTCATGTCCAGTAGGGCTGGGCGTTATGGCCTCAAATCTATATTGCGATATAATCTGAAGCATGTGCGGTAACAATATATATTGCGATATTTTTTTTCCTCTGTTTATACATATCAAAATGACATGCTTTTAAATATCCTCATGTGACAAATATATGCCACATGAGGCAGATATAGGCCTCCTCCTCTGCCCACTCCATGCTTGCAGTCACTGCCATTCTGTTGTCCCAATGTCAGCAGGGTGCACGTCTTAGTGATGTCATGTGTTATCGCGATATCGCGGTATTGCGATATTGCGATATAGCCAAAAACTCGTATCATTACCCAATTTTATATCGTTTCTACCTTATATCGTTTATATTGCCCACCCCTAATGTCCATGTTGACAGAGAATCTACACCTAATGGTTTCTGCAGTGTGTACATATGTACATGTTATAACCAGTTATAATCAGTTCAGTAACAACCTAACAGTTTTAAAACATTTAAACTCTCAACAGACTCAATAGTTCAAAAAAGCAAAGAAATAATCTCAACTGTGTGTGGTGAGATTTATTATATGATTATTATTATTTTTGTTTTACTCATTATCTGTAGCTGCTCCTAGTGAGCAGAACCAAGTGTCATCACTAGCTGCTGATGCTGTTATTTTATGGGTTTACAGACGAGTGCTGCGTTTGACTGTTGATGCTCCGTGTTTTTATTTCTGCAGCGAGCCTTACTAACTCACCTCACTCCACCCAGAGTTTCTTCTTTAAAGCTCGTATTAAATCTACCATCTCCACGCATTTTAATGAGCTTCCTCCGCACCGCATTTTCATTGTAGGATACAAACTTTACAACACTTTCACAAAGTAAAAGTTCGGCAGATATGTTTGTTTAAATTTTTGCTGATGTGCACCAACAGTGTGAAAGGAAGGGAGGGGGCGACGCAATGCATTGTTCAGGGTATCTCTAGGCTCCACAGTAGCCGCGGCGGACAGCTGGTTTGACTGGCTCTTATTCCAGATCACGTTTTTTTAATGGACATTGGCTACGGATTCTTCCGTTCGGCGGACTGGGCATCGAAACTAGGAATCATAGCTTAAAACTCTGAATGAGTCTGGGAAAAACTGACAGTTAGTCCCGGTTCCAATCGATGCTCGATACCCAACCCTAAATTCCCCGCTAATGTTTTATTGCAATCTTCAATCTTCCGTTTATGCCTTCTACCAACTGACTTGATTTTACTAACAAACCCCAGTAAATTTATTCACGCTGGCACTTGCCTTTGTTGCTGAACAGAGTGCTAAACTAACTAGCATCTGAAGCCAACATGTTCCAAGCCTAATACTTGAATGCTAAACAGGTTACGTGATGAGTTTGATGACCACTCGATAAATAAATTTTAAAGGCCAACTCAACATTGCATGTTTTCTTGTAAAGATGAGGAAAGAAATCTTACTGTTTATTTCAACTTAAGGTGACCTGGAGCACAGCCCTGTTGAGTGGGCTGGCTCATGGTGTGTTGGGGTCCTTCGGGTAGGCAGTTGGCCGCACAGGTGCCTGATTTTTATCGGGTTTTAAAAATAATTTCTGCCGATATAGAAATAAAAGAGTTTATCAGTCGGCCTTTAGTGTTTAGGAAATGTTTTGATGTATGTTAAAGTTACTTAGGGTTATAAAATGGAAGCAGTGTACACACATGCTAAGCTAGGCTAATCGCTAAGTGTGAAGCTAAGATGTGTGTGTTAGTTGGTAATGTATCTTATCTTCTATAAGTTGCAGCTATGTTGATAAGTCATTTACAAATATCTTCAGAAAATAAAAGCAAGCCTTGGGTGAAGATTTTTCTCAGTTTTAGCTAGCTGACTAGCTACATATAGCCACATGCTGTGAGGAGAGCTTACGGGACTGCCAACTCTCCGGTATTGAGCATGAGACACATGCTTCTGACCCTCTTCACACGCTCTAATGCCACACCTCTAATATCTCACGCTGAAGAATAAACTACCCCCGGGGGTGAGACGCGCGCTCTCACGCAGGGTAAATTTGTACTTAACATGTTGTGCCAAACAAAATTGAATATCTCAAAAGCTTTACCTCAGATCTGTCATATTTTGACATTTTGAAAGGGAGAAGAAGTAGCTGAAAAGTTTGATGTATAATATGTGTATGACATATTTAGGATGGGTCATTAAGTGTAAAAACAATATTTTAGTATTTTCCAATATTAAAGTCCCATTAGTTGTCACACACACTGTGTGTGCGACATTTGTTCTCCGCATTTGACCCATCCTCTGGGGGAGCGGTGAGCTGCAGACACAGCCGCGCTCGGGAACCATTTGGTGGTTTAACCCCCCAATCCAACCCCTTAATGCTGAGTGCCAAACAGGGAGGCATTGGGTCCCATTTTTTCAAAGTCTTTGGTATGACCCGACCAGGAATCGAACCCTGATCTCCCAGTCTCAGGGCGGACACTCTACCACTAGGCCACTGAGCTGGTTACGATGTAATGCCAATATCAGCCAATATTAATAGTAGTTGATAATATCAGACATTCCTAATGGGCATGTTCCATTCGTCTTCATTAAAATGAAACCATCTACAAGACAAGATGTGATTTCAGAGCTTAAAGTGACAATTTGTATTTTTACCTTTAATCTATGGAAATATCCATCGAAACCTTGAAAATTATTAAATGATGTCCAGTAGTTGAAAAATATTGGCGGCTTTATAGCATATAACCATAAAAACTAGGTCTAAAGTACATAGGGTCTTAGTCTCTGGGGGACGTTATATTAGACGTAACGTTTCCTTCTGTCTGGCTCGGGGTCCTGCGCCTGTTGATGACGTCTTACTAGATGATTGGCTGGCCGTACGGCTTATGGAAGCTACGTTGCGATGTTCAAAAACATTTAATGACAAATTTGATAACAAATTTGCTAAACTCTTTCCAAAACGTGAAAGAACAGAATCGAAAAAGAGATGCAGTATATTTTGGCCGTGAGGTACTGCCATACTATGATGACTTCATCGTCAGGCGCAGGACCCAGAGGCGGAGCTGGCCTAAATGGCGCCCTGTGCGAGATCCCCCTGTGACCCCCCCCCCCCCCCCCCCCCCCCCCCCACACACACACACACACAAGAAAAAACATTACACCTACAACTTTGTTTCAAATTGCGTGGAGTGTATTATATATAACAACGTTTGCTGACTGAATACAACATCCAGCTCCTGGCCACCTTCTCACCACTTGTCAAAGTTCTACTGAAATAGACACACTTAACGCAACATGATGGCATCATCGACTTGTACAGTACAGATGTGCTGAAAGGCGAAAGTCTCAACTTTCAGCTAAAAAAAGAACGCTCTAGCTATTATAGTTTTTATTTTATGGCAGTTTTCAGTTTAAACGGGATCTTACTAGCAGGGCACCTCCAGCAGCCCGCTGCCGCTTCGTTTTTCATGGGGTAAATAATAGCTCATTTCCCGATTCCAAAAGGAAAGAATGGTCCTACCAGCTCGCCACTTCAATATGAAGAAGATCAGTTCAACATGGGGAAAAAAACCTGACCTGTAGGCCAGAGAAACGTTCATTAGCACATCAAGTTCGATTCAGTTTACCGGTAAACATATCACGAATGTACAACAGGTCAATTATTAATCATCTTGGCTACGTAGCTTAATCTATACATTCCAGTAGCGTTTGCTACAAACAAATACAAAAACAACAATAAAGGAAAGCAACTGTCTGACAGACAACATAGCCGAATTCAAGGCAACACATAACAATAATCATTCGATTGCTCTTGGTTTTAAGTTAAGCCCATTAAAGTGCTTAAGTAAATAAAAGTGTTTCAAAAACAGCGTTTTTGAACCGGAGTTCTGCTCGCGGTGGGAACTCCGCCGAACAAGGTCATTTTTTATAGCGAAAACGATCGACTGGTCACTGACAAGTAAAAGGGTGTTATTGGTAGATGTTAAGAACACTTACCGCTGAGGTAAAATGAAAGTATAAATGAATTGAGGGGAGAAAAACGCTTTGTTTTTAGCCCGGAAGTATTCCCCCACAGCCAGCTTTCATTGTTGCCGCGACGTGGAAGGAGCCAATCAGGAGAGGGACCTCACATCAGCTGACGTGGGTCATGTGACAGGGAGTAGTTGATATGGGTTACACTTTGTTGTGCTTTTATTACAGAAATAGTATTATTATCATCACTATTATTAAGAACATGCGATTTCTATGTTTTGTTTATGTATTGGTTGATGCTTAAAAAAAATTTTTTAGAAGAAAAAAAAAAAAAGGAAATTAAATGCCGCCCCCTGCAGACTGCCGCTCTGTTCGGCCGCACATACTGCACATATCAAGCTCCGCCACTGGCAGGACCCCAAGCAGATCCGCAAACTACAGCACCAAAAAACTACAATCGGCATTGCATTCTTTCGATGGAAGGAACTGAAGGACCATCAAAGTCTGAGGAGTCACGCCAAGGTTGCATACTTTCTGCTCCACAGATAACAACATTTACCGTGAGGTTCTAGCGACAGTCACGGTCTATATGGTGTAAAACTACCCACAATTGTATGTACTGCCCCCTAGCGTCTGGAAACTACACACTACACAAGTTATATTTCATGAATCCAAATGAATGCTGCCTTTCCGAACAAGTATAAGGTTTTCTAATCGTCTTGATTGAAATGACCAGTCAAGGAAAATTCTGTCGAGATGGAATATTCTTCATTCAGCGCTGCTTCTTAAAGTAGCTTTCCGGAGTTTTCTCCTTTCAGAAATGTTGACTGAGTTTTCAGAAATCCGTGAAGTGATTATCTTATCATGTACTGTGATATGATGTAAGCAATACCTTTTTTCAGAGGTGTGACCAAGTCACTGCTTTGCAAGTCACAAGTAAGTCACAAGTCTTTCCATTCAAGTCTCGAGTCATGTCCAAGTCAAAGCACCCAAGTCCAAGTTGAATCCAAAGTCAATGATGTGGAAGTCCAAGTCAAGTCCAAGTTCTTAACTTTGATTTTTCTAATCATAATCAAGTCATCTGTCCAACTTTATTTTTATGACAATGATAATCAATAAATTCCAGAAATAAAGCTTCTCAAAGGGGCATTATGGAAGTTTGACAGCCAAAACATGTATAGAAATAATAAAATTTCTTCTTCATACATTCTCCTGCAATGCCCTGGTCCTGTAGAATGAGCCCTGGCATTTTTACTGTGATTGCCTGTTTTTCTGTAAAATCACAGAAAAAGAGAGATGCTCGGGTCGAGCAGGCTGCTTCATGCATGTTCACGCTCAGGCATAGCCCGTAGCATTTGCTATCCGTAGCTTTAGCAGCAGAGAGAGGCATTGCCACTTTGTCGCTGTTCCTAACACATAGTGACGAAGCTAGCTACATTTCTGAGGAGCCTTAGCTACTTTCTGTAGAACTTTCTTCTAGATATTTCCTGCAAATTAGCAACAAAATAGCCATTTTTGCTCCAAACCGTTCTTTGATGTTTCAGCTGTCATCAAGGATATAAATGTTACAGATACAAAGGACGTCACTGGCGCTTTAGCTCACCTAGTAAGACGTCGGACTCTCACACAGAAATCCTGGATTCGATTCTGGATGTGAACATAGTTTATTTAGAGTTTCTCTTTTACATTAATGGTATATTTTTTTTACAGTAAGATGCCCACATTTTTATTTGAGACTCGCCGAATGACGTTGAATTCACAGATAAAAAAGATGTGGGTTCAACTTTCATTTTGGAACAATTTTTCAAGCAAGGGAAGGGAATGATCTGAGCATGCAGGAAGACTGACCCATCTTAAACCTTTGTCGGTTGTGCTGAAGAGAAAGGTACAGAACCAAATTATTTAATTAATTAGCTGCGCGTTCTCCTGTCCTCTGTCCTCCGGGCCACACACACACACACTCACACACACACACACACACACACACACACACACACACACACACACACACACACACACACACACACACACACACACACACACACACACACACACACACACACACACACACACACACACACACACACACATACACAAAAGGGACTGTCTCAGCTGTTATTTTCGTTAAGGAGTGTGCACGTACAGCATGCGCGCCTCGTGCACGAGCCTACTATTGAAGCTGCCGTTACGCTTTTGGCCTGAGGGGGCAATCGCGAGCATAAAAATTCAAAACTCCGTAAAGTCCCTTTAAAGCTTAATTTATTTGCTCAAACAAGCAGAAAGTGCAACTGAAACAGATTATAAAAAAGTGCTGCTGCAGTTAGCAGAACAAGATCAAACCCAGAACCAAGAATGATTTATGACTTGTGTCCATGCTGTGCCAATTTTGTGCTAAAATTTTAAATATGCTCAAGTCATCATCAAGTCAACAGATGCAAGTTGATTCAAGTCACAAGTCATTGGCGTTCAAGTCCAATTCAAGTCGTAAGTCTTTATAGATTTTATCAAGTCAAGTCAGAAGTCATTAAAATAATGACTCGAGTCTGACTCGAGTCCAAGTCATGTGACTCGAGTCCACACGTCTGCTTTTCTTTTTATTTGCTAAGCACGCCCCCTGCCCCGCAGAGCTCTGTGTAATAGATAACTGAGCATTGACCAGAACTAACCAATAGTGTTAAACTACCGCTTATGTGCTTCAAATTTAAGGAATACCTCAGCTGATGCAGAACTGATGAACTTTTCACGGACAAGTAAGTCTCAAAAATATAAATATATGAAAACACATGACATGAGAAAAATACTTGTAAAACTACGTGTTTTAGCTGTTTGTCGGCTATAGAAGCACATTTATAAACAACAAACGTGAAGTCGCCATCTTAAAAAAAATGGATCGACAGACTTTCTATGTGATAAGCTTGTCGGCCACTAAATTGTGCCATCGGATAAGAGAAATACTCCGGTAAGATGCTGTTAAACTTGGTCAAATGAACGCTGTGACCAAAGAAGTTATCTTCGTTTTGTTTTTTATCGAATTGTTGGCAGCCTCTCCTCTCAGCGTATTTGGAATAAGTGGATTTGACAAATTGGTTTCATGCAGAAAAAACACACACAACCCATCTTTTTGCAGACATTTCTCAGTATCCTCCTTAGTAACGCACTCTGCTCTCGTATTGATATATTCATTCATCATTTATGTGTCTGATCATTAAGACACTCCAAAAGCGTTTGAGCGCTTGCCCTCAGGGATTGGTTGCTCTCATCTTTGATTTATAGTTTTGTGCGTGGCCTTTGGTGTGACTGCACTTACCGTTTTAACACAAATAATAATAATAATCATTGTAGGTGCTGGGAGGCCTCTCTTAGTGCATATAGATGGGCAGATTCAGGAGAGTTTGTTTTTGCTCAGTGTTTATGAGACAGGTTAGAGGGTTTAGTTCAGCAAAACAGGAAGCTTTTATAAATAATCTTGTGTGATTTTGGCTGAAGTCTGTTTAAAAAGCAGCTGAAGCTCGTGAATCCTGAGAACGTTAAGCGAATTAAGTGTTTTTAAAATGGCCTGTAATGGTTGATGCATAACTTTCACTATCTGTTTGGACATTTTACTGTCCATCACACACACACACACACACACACACACGCACGCACGCACGCACACACGCACGCACGCACGCACACACACACACTTACCGTACATTTATAGACGCACAGTTCCCCTGTATCTCTGTCTCTCTCTGATGCACTCACACTGCGAGGAGCTCAGTAGGAGCTCATTGTCTGAGCCCCAGATCGACTGTCTCCCTAGGATCACATTTCAGACCATTAACACCATTAAAAACCCACTAAAGCCACTAAAACCTCAAAGAACCAGTAACCATTTAACCATTAAGACCCATAGGAAAAAAAACAGCCTCACTGGCGAGCGCTTACAAGCAACATTTGTTAGGCTAGATTTTGTTATGCAAAACTTTGTTAATGCCTATAATTGTGTTTTTGATGCCAGTCAGATGTTTTTGTTTGAATATTTCAGTTTTTTTTTCTGACTTGACTAAAACTTTAGATGGTTGTTTTCCTACAACTATCACGGTTATTTTGTTCCATAGACCATGATGATGATCCAGAACTTCTCACTCAAACATGATTAAATGTTCATGTAATAAAGTTGCTTTATTTCACGTTGGCAGCTCCCTGACTACCTATGTGATGGAGGAGGATGAGCCATCCTTCCTGGAAGCGATAGACTACAGCGCTGAAAGCAACGACGAGGACGGCGAGCCCGAAAACGAACTCTGCTGTGAAGTTCAGGAGAATTTTGATCTACTGTCAGACTCTGAAACCACCACAGGGACTAGTTAGTGATCAACTTTGTACCTGCCTCTTTGACCTTTTAACTAGCCAATGCTTGGTGGGGGTAAACAAAGATGCCACTGGAGTAACGGAAAGAAGCGTCACCTCTCACGATGAAATAACTTAGTCACACCTGAACGAGCCCACCACCTGCCTTTCTCTTGCTTAAGCAGCAGTAAGAATCAGGAGTGAATGTTTTCCTCACACTGTCCCACTGTTCATAAACCTCAGACACCTTATAGCCTCTGAGTGTCACACGTTAACGACCACAACCAGGCTTATGCAGCAGGCAACACTGTCGTTGACTAAATAAAGTTCTTCAGAGCTGCTTACACAGCGGCAGACCTGCCTTCCCGATTAAACGTCCTTCTGATCCTCATCTCATGTATTAAACCCACCTCACCCCTCATTTGGTGCAGTCTCTCACATGCTGTTTGCCTTCCTATTTACCAAATTGAAACTATTTATATCACATGAATGTAAAATGTTCAAATCTTTATATGTAAATGGGCCTTATTCTACACAATATGGAGATGTACACAGCAGACTCACCATGGCTTGTCTCACGTTTTTAGTTGCACTCGGCTGTTAGGCACTTTGATTGAATGTATAAAATATCCACATGTCCTGTCAGTGTTCTCACTGTCCTGATAACCAACAGTATCCTAAAGCAGAAACAAGCAACTGGTGTTAATTAAAACTTCATTTTGCACTGTTTGTATCGAGTTAGAGCTAGGACTAGTGTAAAACTCACTTTATACATCACTAATAGAGAAAAAGACGTTCTCAAGGCCCAGCAAAAGGTGACGCTCTCTTTGTTAGATTATATTTATTATAGTATAATGTTGCCTCCTTTGCTTCCTTTTATTCTATGTGTAGATTTTGCACATTTGCATTGCCCCATGCATAAAAACACAATTGGTGCTGTTTATCAAGAGTAAAGATTGGTTTTAATGCTTTTACATTAATATATATATGTGTGTGTGTGTGTGTGTTTGTGTGTGTGTGTGTGTGTGTGTGTGTTTCTGTTAGATCTGTACAGATAGTTAGTGCATGGCTTTTTTGTTCTTTTTTAAATTATTCTTAATTTATGGAGTTTATCAGGTGCATCTTGCATGTTTGTGGGAATCACTTTTGGTGTCTAATGTGTGTATCCCTGGATTTTAAGTTATTCCATTATTTAGCTCAGCTAAATGCTCTTAAAAAGATTATTTTCTAAGTTACTTTCCAAACATTGTCTTTCTTCACTTTTTCATTTGATCTTTTGTTGTTTTCACATTTTATTCACAAGCATCTTATGAACCCAGATCAGTGTGTGTGTGTGTGTGTGTGTGTGTGTGTGTGTAATAAGCTGATTTTGTGTTGTAATATGAACTGTGTGTACTATCATACTTATGTTTGGATCAGATTGGGTTTATTCTGCTCTCAGCTCTTGCTTTATTTGCTTTGAGGTCAACAAGAACAAATGGTACTATATTTTGAGTTGAGTGGCTGTAAATTAAAGGTAAAAGTAAAGGCTTGGGAAATAAACTGTGAACGAAATAAGCTTTTTTTGTTATTATTTATTTACAAATGCAGTCTTCTAACTTTATTATTTGAATGGCATTAGCATGAGATGGTACAGTGCAAAAGCTATAAATTAGGGATGCAACAATGTCACTTTTTTTCCAAACCGATATGATACCAATACTAGGATCTGAGTACTCGCCGATACAGATTACAGATACCAATACTTCTACCGCACAAAAAATGCAATGAACTGGAGTACAGGCTTTATTTTCTTTTCTGCTTTCAACAGGAAAAGACTGTGAGGTTGATAAAAAAAACTATTAAAATGATCACAAAACTAAAATATTAGGTGAACAATGATAGCGAAGCCACTTCCAAGCAACTGCATTGGTATCTGTATCGGCACCGATACCAATGCTGGTAAAACCCTACTATAAATCATTTCGAATTTCTTCTTTTTCTAGTTAGTATAGTCAGAGGTTCTTGTAATATTTTGAAGTGTTTTTATCAGTAAACAAAAAAAATATGTGTTGAGTTTACTTAAAAGACCAAGTTCACTGAACCCCCCTTTAATTAGTTTTTTATTATTGCCGATTATAATCAGTCACTCTGAGTTTAACATGCAGGCTGAACATGAAAATAGTCTCCTACACCTATCTCCTCCATTAGCTTCTGATAGACGGTGAAACTCTAGGATTAGAAAAGCCTGACAAATCTAAGTCACGCTGTCACTTAACTTTGATGGACTCGCCCATCTTGACTCACAACGGGGAACGCTGTTGTTGGTTTAGCAGAAAACAGCAGAGAACGTCTTTACTAGTAGAAGCTAACTGTTAGCATTAGCAACTCCACCACATGGCAAAACTCCTTTAGGCTTGTGTTTTTTGTGGAACTAAAACATCAACGTCCCAGAGCTAACCGAGTCAGTGGTTAAGTTGCATTTCTGTTTGCCGATCTGAGGCAAGATGACCAAATATCAGGAAATAAGAGTCCAAATCCTGTCGTCAGAAGCTTCTTGCTTCTCCGGATGAATTCTCCGTCCTCAAACAGGCGCACCAGAGCTTTGTTTCCCCAGAGTATGACTCACATGGCATTCATTCCTTCTAGAAACCACTGCAAATGTATTAAAAGTATGAGTAAAGTTCCTCTTTATATTAGGTGTTCATGAGGATGCGGTTCTGGTGTTAATGTCGATTAATACTGCGGTAAATATATTTATTCATGACTCACACAGAACAAACGATGGCTACTGATCTATCAGAGTGAGAAACACATTCAAACATGAACCGCTCAGGTTTAGCCGGCTGCCTTTAAATGCAGATCTCTGCAAACATATTCAGACGCTTGTTTAGAAGAATAATTTGTTGCTCCTTTTTAAATCTGCTGAATAAGCTGCAGCCTATGTGCAAAAATTGCATCAGAACTTTCATTATAAATGTATTTAAATCCAAAACTAATTGATGCTTCAATATACAATTCTGTTACAAATTCTGCACAAATATACTCAGACATTGAACTTTACTGCAGGAAAATGTTTGATATGGATCTCACTAAAATATTGGAGTTTTTACATCTTTAAAATTTTCACTCTAAAACTAAATATTGGGTTTTGTCCTTTCAGGAGTGTTGGTTTTGTAAAAGATGCAGTATTTTTATCGAATGGATGCTGAAATTTCACATATTCGGTTGTTTTGGTTTTGTTGTAATTTGGACCTTGGGGACACCGTATTTAATAAAATGAGTATACAGGTTGCTGCTTTTTGTCCAAATGCATTTAGAAGAAAGGGGGCTAAACACAAACCATTACTGATAATAAAACCACAATTAACCGATAAAGATGCAGCATCTTAAGTATCAACATCACTACCTGAAGGAGTTTAGAGCCCTGTCTTTAGCTTAAAGAGCATAAGTACGCAATCAATCACTTCATTACAGCAGTGCGGTTGTACGAGCATTTGCTCGACAATGTACCTCCGCTGCTTAAGTGGCCTGAGTAACTTAATCGTTTGCTTCTCAGGAAATGTAAAAAGGTAAGAGGATGAGAAAAACGCAGCACAAATGTCCTGAAATAACTACTGAATGAAGCTTAATGTAAATGGACATAAGTGGAGAGGATGCAGAGACAGAGTGAAAGCACAGAGGACGAGAGGTATTTGGGAGCGTTGGAGGAGCATGCTAATCTGAGGCAGCATGGAGAGAAATGCTCTTTTCCACTTTAAGCCCCACGCCCTCACTTCCTGTTCCTGCTGTCACTCTGAGCAGCTCAAGAGCATCACACAAAAGGCCGCTCTCTTCCCTCCACCCCCAGCCACAAACGCCAGCACAATCCAACCAGTTAAGTACGCTGGTCAAAGACTTTGGGGGTGCATTGTGTGTATGAATGCAGAAGTTCTGAAGGGTGCTTCTATAGGTTTCTCATGTTCAGAGACCACTAATTAGAAATCTCTGTCCCCCCGTTCCTCTCCGTCTCACTCGTCCTGGTGGGCACCGGGCCCGCTCTTCTGCCTCATACTGATGAGCTCATTTCTGTAGTCAAAGTGTGGCTCTGTGGGCGTCTAATAGTGTAGCCAATTAGTGCCAGAGTCTGACTTGGCAGCTTCTTTAACTCTCTGGTGGTCCCACAGAGAGAAAGAACGACTCCCTGAAAAGGTACAAATTCACAAAGAAGGGCCCAACAAAGACGTGTGTGTCACAGGGAAAGAATAGCTGTGTGTGTGTGTGTGTGTGTGTGTGTGTGTGTGTGTGTGTGTTTGATCGTGTCATTCAGCAGCACAAATATTCAGAGAAAAAGTCACTATGCATTAAAATTAATGGAAAGGGTTTTCAGCTTGATATGATGAGCAGCTAATTCCTCCTGAAACCCATTCATCTTTACTTACTCATCAGATAACGTTTCCTTTATTAATAATCCTCAATAATAAAAATTCTGTTTTTGATGCAAATCCAAGGAATACTTTTATCACAGTAGATAGTTTCGTAATTGAGACAAACAAATCTTGCACTAAAATACACACGGCTCATTATTTGAGACAAAACTGATGTTTTAACAGCATTAATGATTACAGACTCACCTCTCTGACCTACATTTATTTGTTTTTCTGTTATAGATAAAGAAAAGAGAAATTTCACATTAACTATGAAGTTGCAAGATCAGGTCTGCTCTGACTGGACAATTCTGGTCACATGATCCACAAGTTTTGCATTTTTGAAAAGGTGTGGCACAGGGAAAGGCATCATTTACCTATTATTTCTTTTTAGAATCAGTCAGAGTTTTTATTGCAGGCTGAAGATGAAAATAGTCTCCTACACCTATCTCCTACATTAGCTTCTGATAGAAAATTGATGGTGACACTCTAGGATTTGAAAAGTCTGACAGATCTATGTCACACTGTCAGTTAACATTCAGGATCTCTCCAATCTTGACTCGCAAGGAGAAGGCTGTTGTTGGTTTAGCATCCAGGAAAGAACAGAAAATGTCTTGGCTGGCAAAAGCTAACCGTTAGCACTAGCAACTCCACCGCAGGTTGCAGGTTCGATCCCGGCTCCGGACAGAGAATTCTGCTGTTCTGTCTTTGGGCAAGACACTTAACCCGCCTTTTCTGCTGGTGGTGGTGGGATGGACCGGTGGCGCCTGTGCTCGGCAGCCTTGCCTCTGTCAGTGTGCCCCAGGGCAGCTGTGGCTACATTGTAGCTCATCGCCATCAGTGTGTGAATGTGTGTGTGAAAGGATGAGTGATGCACTGTAGTGTAAAGCTTTGGAGCCCTCTAACTCTGAAATGTGCTATACGAGTGTGGGTCACATGGCAGAACTCTTCCAGGTGTGTGTTATTTGTGGAGACAAAACATCAACGTTGCTAGTCAGTGGTAGAGTTGCATTGCTGTTAGCCGATCAGAGACGTGATGACCAAATATCAGGAAATAAAGCGCAGCTGTGATGTTCCTCACTGCTAGTTCCTGGAAATGGTTCACCAGTGTTTTTTGCCCCAGAGTATGAGAATGTATTGATTTTCTGAGTGTTCCATACCTTTGAATTTTTTTAAATGTTTCAGTTGGCAGTAATTTACAGTAGCAAACCTAAACAGTTTAGTAGTTTATTGTATTGGCAATGTTTCAGCAAAACCTTTTTTTTTTTTAGACTTAGCTTTGAATAACTTGATGGTATTATTTTAAAACAACATGTAATCCATTCACTTTCATTTGACTGCAGAGTTTTAGATGAGGCCTTTTGATTCTTTCATTTTTGTAAATAAAAAACTGTAAACTGCCATGTTTTGTGCAGATGTTGGTAACAAAACAGGTTCAAAATGTATGCACAGAAACCCATGAAATCAAGCAAGACTGGATTGCGCCTCCTGCCAGGGAGCCACTTGTGATTGTGTTCTCAGGTCCTTTGTGCTGCTTTTTGTAAACAGCCAGCAAACACAACAGGGCAAAAACTGCTTGTGTGAGTGTGTGTGTGTGTGTGTGTGTGTGTGCGTGTGTGTGTGCGTGCGTGTGTGTGTGCGTGCATGTGCTGGTAGTAGGCTGACAGAAGACAGCTTGTCACAACCAACAGATGCAAATACATCATGTTCAAATCAAACCCTGCAAACATTTTTACAGACACTCACGTGGATCTGTGTCCTCTTTTGCATATCAATAGTCCCAGATAGTAGACACACACACACACACACACACACACACACACACACATAATTGGTTACAGGGGAGCAGAGCCAACTTGCACCTCTCGTTGCCGTGGTAACCAGAGAGGCTGATTTTTCTAGAAGCACTTACTCACATCCCGTCTGTTATTCACGTTTGTTCATTCATTCCTCCTTTTAGCCTCTCTTTGTACATCTCTCTCTCTCTCTCTCTCTCTCTCTCTCTCTTTTCTTTCCCACCTCTTCTCCAATGAGATATCCTCTTGGCATGCATATGCAAATCAGGCAGACTTGACGCCAATTAAAAATAATTAAATGACGAGCAGGGTTGTGTCCACAGCAGCTGGCTGTATCAAATAGTGGCATCTGATGCACAGAAAAATCTGAAAATCC